GTTAATGGTTAATTTTAGGTATCAGGGTTAATGGTTAATTTTAGGTACAGGGGTCAGGGACAGGATGTCTAAAGTGAATAAAGGTCATTTTAGGCTTTGGGACGGTAGTTTTTGTACATTTTCTACACTTTCAGAAAGTATGACAACAGGTTCCGCCCCATCTCGTCAAAAAATGACACAAGGGGAGAACCTGACCCGTCAAAATAAGACGCAGAGGGAACTTTGGAAAAGTGTCAATACGTGACGAGTCAGGAGACTTGGTTGTTTCAGGACCAATGAGCTGCTGAGGCCAAGTTTTCTTACACAAAGCAGCACATTTCTCTCTAGAATCCTTGATAGTCTTGAGATTTCATTGTACCCCACACAGGTTCATGACCCCCTCCAGAGGCAGCAAAGCAGCTCCAGACCATAACAGACCTCCTCCATGTTTCACAGTAGGACAGTGATCTTTTCTACACATGCTTCATTTTCCCCTCTGTGAACGTAGAGCTGATGTGCCTTGCCAAAAGGTTCAGTTTCTGTCCCATCTGTCCAGAGGACATTGTCCCAGGAGCTTTGTGGCTTGTCAACATGTAGGGTGTGATCTGACTCTGATGTTTGAGCTTGACGTTCACCTTTAATCTTCTCAGAAGAGTTTCTGGGCTCTTTTGTTATCATTCATATTATCATCTCTTTGATTTGTTCTCCTCCTGTGCCCACGTCCAGGAGGTGGGCTACAGTTCCATGGATCTTAAACTTCTGAATAATATGTGCAGCTGTAGTCACAGGAACAGATGGTCTTATAACCTTTACCTTTAACGCTTGTCTATAATTTTCTTATTAATCTCCTGAGACAAGTCTTTCCTTGTCTTCCTCTGGTCCATGTAGAGTGTGGTCCACAGCATGTCAGCAACCAGCTCAGTGAGGATCTGTAGGCCTACATACAGGTCCACTGACTGATTACAGGACTGTACACACCTGTGGTGATAATTAGTGACACACCTTGATTCAACAGGACCCTTTGGTCTCATTGTTTTCAGGGGTTCCATCATTTCTGTCCAGACCTGTTTCATGAGGTTTATTTTTTGATTCTGTTGAAGCAGGACTGAAAGTCAATGTCTGATTTTGATTTGTTCATTTTTATAGATTTTTTTGTTACTTTTATCAGATTCAAGTTATTTCCATGACCATTGTGGGATTTTTGATCATTAAAGGAGGGGGACCAACAGTTTAGTCCAAATGTGTGTAACGGGGTGTCCATCCTCCTCATGTTCCCAGCCTGGTCTTCTTTAACTGATTTATTTTATTTCATTTCATGTCAAGTTCAGCATACAACCCCAGTACTAATGAAGTTGGGACATTGTGCAAAACGGAAATAAAAACAGAAATTAATGATTTGCAGATCCTTTTCAACCTATAATCAGTTGAATACCCTACAAAACACAATATTTAATTTCCAAATGGATAAACTTCATTCTTTTTTAACTCAATAATTTTGAGTGTGATGTTTGCAACACATTTTAAAACATCTGGGACAAAAGCAAACAACAGACTGGGGAAGTTGACACAGGTGAACAGGTTAGTTATGAGCTCCCATGAACACAGTTCATCTGTACATCTACAAGTTAAAGCTCTATCATGCAAAGACAAAGCCAGACCTGAACAACACCCAGAAACCCTGCAGACTACTGTGGACCTGAGCTCACCTGAGATGGACTGACTCACAGTGGAGAAGTGTCCTGTGGTCTGATGAGTCCACATTTCTAATTGTTTTTGTAAGAAAAACATCATCAGAATTAGAAGAAAGAATAATTTAGCAGAAAACAAATTGATTTTCTTTAAAGTAATACTATTAAAGCCTCCATGTGAGTCAGCTCCAGTCTGTGTCCCTGCTCTGAGTCGAACACTAACAGAGCTCTGACTGTTACCAGCTGCACTGAAAACAAGCAGCTTCTTCTCTTCTAAACTCATCTGGAGACAGTTCCTACAGATTAGTTCATCCTAGTCTCAGCCTGGAGCCGATGGCTTTCTGTAGTCCTGAACAAGCTGAGTTTATGTTACAGAGACTGAACACTGACTCTGTCAGGTTAAACAGCTCAGTGCAGGTGATGAAGGTGTAGAACAGGACTGTTCAACTCTTCCACCTGCCAACTGCTTCATTTATTCCCTAAGACCAAAACCCTGGTTTTTTACTACAAGTTATTTTAGTTAGATAAAGACTTGTTTGGTATCTACAGAAACACCAGAATCGTTTCTAGAAGTTGGTAAAAAATTTCTATCAACATCTACAGTTCAAACTATAAGCTGCTGAAGATAAAAATATGAAAGTGAAAAATTGTTTTAAAATATTTTAAAAATCTGAGATGTCAAAATTATATTTGTGCCAAATAAAAGGCATAATGTGTTATTTTTAGTTTTGATATTGTTTTTATCACTAGTTTTATTACAAAGTTGTCATAATCTGTGTTTATTTTCCTTAGTTTCCTGTGTTTTCAGTGTTCCCCTGTGTTTCTCTGCCCTTTAGCCCCGCCCCCTCTCACCTGTGTCCTCTTCTGTCTGCTCCAGGTGTGTCTTGTTGCCCTGATTAGTTTGTCTTTATATTCTGTGTCCTGTCTTCAGTGTTTGTCTGATCATTGTGCTGCTTCTCTCAGCCTGTGAGGCGTCTGCTCATGTTCATGCTCATGTTCATGTTCATGTTCATGTTCCTTTCTCTACAGTCTCTGTAAGTTTTTGCTGACATACAGTATCAGGCCTCCTTGTGTTTCATTAAAATACTTGTTTTGAACTTTGGATCCTGCCTGCGCCCTGGGTCATTCTACACTAAACCTCACACAAAGTGTTCTCTATGTTGTATTTATGATCAAATATAAAATTGAATAAACTGTTTCAGAGGAAACAGATCTTTGTAATATTTGATTTATTCACATAATGATTGTATTTGCTGTATGTTGGACCTTTTAGCTGTTGGCCAGCAGTAACTGTGGGCCCGGAGCAGTTTGAGTAGTCCTGCTGTAGGATATGAGACTGGATCTTAAATTCAGTTAATTAGTCACAAAAGTTCCTTCAATCAACATCATGTCCTTTGGGCCAAACGAGGAAAAGGATGATCTGGTTCAGTATCAGCACAAAGTTCAAAAGCCAGCCTCTCTGTTGGTATGGGGGTGTATTAGTGCCCATGGCATGGCTAACTTGTTTTCCATTGAAAATGTGTGGAGCTTTATGAAGAACAAAACAGAACAACAAAGACCCCGAACTGTTGAACAACTGAAGTCGTTCATCAAGCAAGAGTTAAAGAGTTTAGCTACAAACCTTCAACAATCAGTGTCGTCAGTTCACAGACACTGATTGAGTGTTGTTAGAGAAAACACAGAGGGAAACATGACCCTGTCCACATTTATTACAACCTGTTGCCTCAAATTCAAAATGACAGAGTGTTTTTGGGGAAAAAAAACAAAGTTTATCAGTTTGAACATTAAATATCTTTGTTGTTTATTCAATTAAATACAGTGGGGAAAATAAGTATTTAGTCAGTCACCAATTGTGCAAGTTCTCCCACTTAAAAAGATGAGAGAGGCCTGTAATTGACAACATAGGTAGACCTCAACTATGAGAGACAAAATGTGAAAAAAAATTTGAGAAAATCATTTTGTCTGACTTTTAAATAATTTTTTTGCAAATAATGGTGGAAAATAAGTATTTGGTCAATAACAAAAGTTCATCTCAATACTTTGTTGTATATCCTTTGTTGGCAATGACAGAGGTCAAACGTTTTCTGTAAGTCTTCACAAGGTTGGCACACACTGTTGCTGGTATGTTGGCCCATTCCTCCATGCAGATCTCCTCTAGAGCAGTGATGTTTTGGGGCTGTCGGCGGGCAACACGGACTTTCAACTCCCTCCAAAGGTTTTCGATGGGGTTGAGATGGGGAGACTGGCTAGGCCACTCCAGGACTTTGAAATGTTTCTTACGAAGCCACTCCTTTGTTGCCCTGGCAGTGTGCTTGGGATCATTGTCATGCTGAAAGACCCAGCCACGTTTCATCTTCATTGCCCTTGCTGATGGAAGGAGGTTTGCACCCAAAATCTCACAATACATGGCCACATTCATTCTTTCATGTACACGGACCAGTCGTCCTGGTCCCTTTGCAGAGAAACAGCCCCAAAGCATGATGTTGCCACCCCCATGCTTCACAGTTGGTATGGTGTTCTTTGGATGCAACTCCGCATTCACTTTCCTCCAAACACGACGAGTTGTGTTTTTACCAAATAGTTCTACTTTGGTTTCATCTGACCATATGACATTCTCCCAATACTCTTCTGGAACATCCAAATGCTCTCTAGCAAACTTCAGACATGCCTGGATATGGACTGGCTTAAGCAGGGGGACACGTCTGGCACTGCAAGATCTGAGTCCCTGGCGTCGTAGTGTGTTGCTGATGGTAGCCTTTGTAACATTGGTCCCAGCTTTCTGCAGGTCATTCACTAGATCCCCCCTTGTGGTTCTGGGATTTTTCCTCACCGTTCTTGTGATCATTTTGAGCCCACGGGCTGAGATCTTGCGTGGAGCCCCAGAGATTAGTAGTGGTCTTGTATGTCTTCCATTTTCTGATTATCGCTCCCACAGTAGATTTCTTCACACCAAGCTGCTTGCCTATTGCAGATTCAGTCTTCCCAGCCTGGTGCAGGTCTACAATTRGGTTTCTGGTGTCCTCCGACAGCTCTTTTGTCTTCACCATAGTGGAGTTTGGAGTGTGACTGTTTGAGGTTGTGGGCAGGTGTCTTTTATACTGTTAACGACTTCAAACAGGTGCCATTAATACAGGTAATGAGTGGGGGAAAGAGGAGCCTCTTAAAAAAGAAGTTACAGGTCTGTGACAGCCAGAAATCTTGCTTGTTTGTAGGTGACCAAATACTTATTTTCCACCATTATTTGCACAAAAAAAAATTCTTTAAAAGTCAGACAAAAAGATTTTCTCAAATTTTTTTTCACATTTTGTCTCTCATAGTTGAGGTCTACCTATGATGTCAATTACAGGCCTCTCTCATCTTTTTAAGTGGGAGAACATGTACAATTGGTGACTGACTAAATACTTATTTTCCCCACTGTATAGGTTGAAAATAATTTGTGAATCATCATATTCTGTTTTTATTTTTATTTTACACAACTGCATTTGTTCCTTCAGCTGCAGGGATGATTGAATATCTCCAGCCATCCTTCAGACCAGAGTTTAACATTGTGTTATGTTGAAAACGTTTTTAAAAACAACTCCTGTCATACCACATCTCACTCATATGTGCTGTGAATCAGATTTTAGCTCTGTGTCTGTAAAACTAAGTTCGACTCATGTCTTGTGTTGTTTAGCTGTGGCAGTCGACGTTGCTGAAGGTAATCAGTTATTAATGCACATTCAATAATTATTCTCTGAATGTCTTGTTAAAAATCCTGCAGTAAGGTAGGAGGTACAGAACATCTGCTGTGTCAAAATGTACTGAAGTAAAACCAAACACACAGAAAACAAACGACATTTAGACTGAATATTAGTTTTCAGATGTTTTCACCTGAACTAGCTGGTGCTGTTGGGTCTAACAGAACCTCTGTGCAGATTGTGGCTCGGGGGATGAAGGCTCGAGGATCTGGAGGCTCCATCGTCAACGTGTCCAGCCAGGCCTCTCAGTGCGCTCTCAGAGACCACGCAGTCTACTGTGAGTACCACAGGACCACTGTCCTCCAGTTTACTCACTCTAAACTGATGCTGTGCCGTGTTCGTTCAGCTGTTAGCACCGATGAGTCTCCAACAGTCCCACTCCAGACAGATTCTGGTTTACTGGGAAGTGATGATTTGTCAAACAGTTAAGTGTTTTTTTATGGAGATAAATTAGTCTCAAAGTTATCTGAACATCAAGATTCAAGCAACAAGAAACTGCAGAGCGGTTCTGTTCACGTGACTTCTGAGACTTTCTTACCTCTGCATCCGTCACACGTGTTCAAGGCTGGTGAAGAGCTGGGACATCTGAGCCTTACTACCTGTACTGACTTATTAACAAAATACTTTTTTGGCTTATAGTTCATGAATATGGGGCACCATGTTAAAAGATTTCACCAACGTATTTGTCAGTATTTAGCTCACTGTTCTTACATTTAGCTAATTTAAGAATCAGAATCAGTTTTATTGCCATTGTCAACGAACAAGACTCACAGACCAGGAATGTGCTTCAGTGTAAAGGTGCAATAAGTTTCACATATAACAAATGAAGAAAATACAAAGGATAAATATAATATATATATAAATATAAAAAAAAAACAGATGTACACCAGTTCAATACAGTAATCAGAGCAGACACTATAGTTGGAGGAGTGCAGTTTGATCCAGTGATTAAAGTCAACAGAAAACTAATACAGTCATAAAACTAATACAGTCATAAAACTAATACAGTCATAAAACTGATAGGCAGAAAACTAATACAGTCAGAAAACTGATAGGCAGAAAACTAATACAGTCAGAAAACTAATACAGTCATAAAACTAATACAGTCATAAAACTAATACAGTCATAAAACTAATACAGTCATGAAACTAATACAGTCAGAAAACTGATACAGTCATAAAACTAATACAGTCATAAAACTGATACAGTCAGGAAACTGATACAGTCAGAAAACTGATACAGTCAGAAAAAATAATACAGTCAGAATACTAATACAGTCAGAACTAATACACTCAGAAAACTGATAAAGTCAGAGAACTAAAACAGTCAGAAGACTAATACAGTCAGAAAACTGATACAGTCATAAAACTAATACAGTCATGAAACTAATACAGTCATAAAACTAATACAGTCAGAAAACTAATCCAGTCAGAAAACTGATACAGTCATAAAAAATAATACAGTCAGAATACTAATACAGTCAGAGAACTAATACAGTCAGAAAACTGATACAGTCAGAAAACTGATACAGTCATAAAAAATAATACAGTCAGAATACTAATACAGTCAGAGAACTAATACAGTCAGAAAACTAATACAGTCGTGAAACTAATACAGTCTGAAAACTGATACAGTCAGAAAACTGATACAGTCANATTTAATGTTGTATGTGAATGTGTTATGGGAGAGTGAGTGAGGGTTTCATTTAACAGGAAGAAGGAACATCAATCTGGAAAGCACAATGGAAATATACAAATTCACTACAGTGGAAAGAAATTGCTTGGAAAACAAAGATAAGATAAGATAAACCTGTTTATTGTAATTGTACAGAGCACAATGAAATTACAGTTCAGAACACCCATTCACAAGAAGACAGAACATAACAAACATAGGAGAWRAGGTGACCCCAGYTCATGCAGCCATAGGCCACACTATCAATTRAGTTCATTTTACTTATATAGCGCCAAGTCACATGCTTCTTTGAACAGTCTGGTTGGGATGGGATCTAGCAGACATGTTGATGTTTGGATGAAGCTATTGTTTTAGATAGCTATTTCAGACTATGAACAGGCCCTTCGTACCTGCTGGAGAAACTGGAAACCAACGAGCAAATCACTTTCACATTCTCTGGGACTGCCCTATTATAAAACATTACTGGACAGAAATTCATACTGCTTTACAGGACATTTTTAAAGTTTCCTTCCCATTTGGAATAAAATCTGTATCCTTTGAACATATACCATAGAACTGGGAAAACAAGGACAAAATTTATTGAATATTTTACTAGTAGCAAGCAAGAAGAAACAGACTAAGAATGGTTAACGCAAGAGAAGCTAAACCTGATCGCTTGGTCAYAGGTGACAATGGACGATTACAGAAGGGAGATTTCAGCTATCGTAAACCACAAATTGGATCTGTTTGACTTACACTGGAACAAATGGGCTCTATATATGGCATGCCAGAGGCCTAATGTAGTATTGTAAAGAATATAGTGTAATTTCTACACCCCCCCCTCCCCCGAGTGTTCTGTTACGTTACAGTAATTTTGTTTTTGCACTATGTAATATGTTCATCAGTGAAAATAAAAAAGCTGGTCATTAAAGTGCAGATCTGTGAATGTCTGCCTAAAATAACTTTAAGAAACCTTTTATGTACTGCTGTTTAAAGAAAACAAACAGGACTTAGTAGTTTTTTGTAGACCGTAACAGTGGTTTGGGACTCTTTGACAACTGAAGTTCCAGTSGATTTAAAACAATTCATTTTCTATCTTGTTTCAGGCTGACTGAGCTCTGTAACACTCAGAGTCCCAGGGCTGATGGGAGCCCCCCTCAAACATTGCTGCAGAGGGACCACCAGAAAGACCATCTGGCCTCAAAAAGCATTAACATCACATCAGCAGGTTCAAAGGATCTACATGAAACTACTACATTAGTCCCTCAAAGGGACACCCAGACTCACCCATTCTGCCTTCAGAGCCCCCACCAGACATCCCAGTCACCCCATCCTCAAAGCCCTGACCAGATACTCCAGTCACCTCATCATCCAAGCCGCCACCAGATACCCCAGTCACCCCATCCTCAAAGCCCCGACCGTATACCCCAGTCACCCCATCCTCAAAGCCCACACCAGATATCCCAGTCACCTCATGCTCAAAGCCCCCAACAGATACCCCAATCACCCCATCTTCAAAGCCCCCACCAGATATCCCAGTTACCCCATCCTCAAAGCCCCGACCAGACCTCCCAGCCACTCCATCCTCAAAGCCCCCACCAGACATCCCAGTCGCCCCATCCTCAAAGCCCCCACCAGATACCCCAGCCACCCCATCCTCAAAGCCCCCACCAGATACCCCAGTCACCCCATCCTCAAAGCCTCGACCAGACCTCCCAGTTGCCCCATCCTCAAAGCCCCCACCAGATACCCCAGTCACCCCATCCTCAAAGCCTCGACCAGACCTCCCAGTTGCCCCATCCTCAAAGCCCCCACCAGATACCCCAGTCACCCCATCCTCAAAGCCTCGACCAGACCTCCCAGTCGCCCCATCCTCAAAGCCCCCACCAGATACCCCAGTCACCCCATCCTCAAAGCCTCGACCAGACCTCCCAGTCGCCCCATCCTCAAAGCCCCCACCAGATACCCCAGTCACCCCATCCTCAAAGCCTCGACCAGACCTCCCAGTCGCCCCATCCTCAAAGCCCCCACCAGATACCCCAGTCACCCCATCCTCAAAGCCTCGACCAGACCTCCCAGTCGCCCCA